TACCAAATGGTGAAACTATTCAGCTATTTTGATTGGGTTGTTGACCAGTACATTGTGGTTTTGCAGCAATCTGTGTCTAGACTTGGGAGAAAATGGGTATATGGTCGTATTTATCTCGTTTCACGAAGAGGTAGAAGTCGGAGATGGATGTGAGCCATCCATCTGCAATGCGTACACAAACATAACTGTTAATAGAAGCATGATTCTTCTCTTCAATTTTCAGTTTCTTTTTGCAGGAAATAAATCGACTACTGGACTTGTTATACTGCAGAATGAAGTATAATGAGACTCTTGAAAGTTATTTGTGTAGAAGACTTCACTATCTTAATATGAAAAATAAATGGTTATATTTTGCTGTTGGAGAATGTTATTGTAGTACGAAACAGCGATCCCCAGCTTAAGACGTTACCATCATTCAAACCTAGCTTTGATGATCTGCAAAATCAAAATCGTACAAGATGAATGTAAACGGTAATGGCTATCGACATTTTCTCGAGATATTGAGAGATGTATATATACATCTAGATTAAAAATAAATGTAATAAAACACGTAAAAAATAAAATTTAATCAAATACATACATAATAAATGTTTAAAATAAAACAAAATTTTGACATATTTCTTTAATTTTTATTTTGTATTTATCATATTATTCCGTAGTAAGTATTAAAAAAATTAAAATCGTAATAAAAAAAATTAAATTTATACTAATGTAATTATGCATAAAAGGGAACAACATTTTTAAAATAACTTGGTTGTTTAGAAAATATTTCTGTGAAAACGTTATCATAGAGTTTTGTTCTCTTATTTTAAATGTATGAAATTTGGACATTGTGTTAAATTTTAGGGCAATGTTCATTATTGTGAATGTATTAATTAAGATAATAAATTGCAAAATATAATAATCATGTATTATTAATTGGGATAGTACTAACATTTTCATTTTCTAATAGTACTTTCCTACGCCAGCATACTTTTCCAGTTTATACAAAAGCTTAAGTAGATCATCGTTCAAGCTAAGTATTGACATTTAACTTTTAATATGAGTCCCCAAGGAAATTTTGTTTTTGCCACAAAAAGAATGCATATCAAGGAGATGAGGCTTGCATTAGTTATATTGTGTAGAATGAGGTGAAAATCTAAAAAATTTCGTCTAATTTAACATTAAAAATCGACGAAAATGAGTGCGATTGAAAATGTTATAAAAACTATAATATTTTAAGTTGAAAACAACCTAAATTTATTAGGTTTTTTGATAACATTTTTTATCGCACTCATTTCCGCTATTTTTCAGCCATAAATTATTAAATTGTACCACAAAATCTGAATGAGTATTCAATCAAATGCTCCTTTAACATGATATGGTGCAAGCATTATCAGTTTATCCAAAATTCATTGCCTTGGTTTTTAAAATTAGGGATGGACGTAGAATCTTATATTAGAGAATAAATTTATAAACTTCTAAGAGATGACACTTATAAAATTTTAATGAATAAAAATAAATTTTCAATCGAAAATAAAAAATATGAATTTATAATTTTTAAAAAATATATGAATACTCATATCCTTAAACATTCCATATAAAAAAATATATGTATAGAAAATGTGGATTATAAAATATATTATTTTTAAATCTATTAAGTGACCTCAGTGATAAAAGATTATGTTGTTATTCCTAAAGATCATAGGTTCGAACAGTTGCGTCAGGGTGTGTGCGTGTTGTTAATTGGTTAAAATATTTTTAACAGATCATACCTTATAATCATGTTAGACTATTAAAAAAATCAAATCAAAGAATTGTAATTTTTATGATTTTTTTAAGGATCATTTTGCTTGTTTTTTTTCTACAAAAGGAAGGTTATTTTATTTTTTGAGCATGCCAAAGCATATATTAATTGAGTTCTATTTTTTAACTCGAGTGTATGAATATGGAAGTAATATGTTTTTTTGAAGATGACATTCATTTCAGGATTGCACTAATGTAATCAGGATAAATTATTTTTAAGATAATAATTTTTACTATAATATAACAAATTAATTTGTTAATTATTTTTCATTTAATTATTTTTAAGTCACTTCTAATATTTTATCTTACATAATATAATTTTACCAATATTTAAAAATAATTTACTGTTGTTAAAACTTGAATTTCAGAATTCAATCTGTCATGGAGCATGTAGGAGAAAAATAAAGGAGGTGCATGTTAATGGTCAACCAGTGTTTCTAGAGATCACATGGAGGAGATCATGGTTTTCAGAACTGGATCGGTCTGCGAACTGGTCGTGCTACTGGTTCAACCAGTCGTAAGAATCGGAAGACGTCATAATTATTTAAAGAATTAATTAAAAAAATTTAGGTTGAACCGGTTCACGGTCCGGTTCGACCGATTCAAAGCCGGTTCGAACGATTCCTTGCGATTCACTAGAACTGATTCAACCGGGGTATAATGGATCGGACCAGGCAGCGGTTCTCGGTTGAACCGGCCGGTCCGGTCCGGTTTTGAAAACAATGCTTTGGCATGCTCAAAAAATAAAATAACCTTCCTTTTGTAGAAAATCAGGTGACAAATCACGGAATAATATATATATATATATATATATATTTATTTATATAGGGTAAGTACAAAATAATATTTGTTGATAGATTCAACTTTTGTATACGTAGTGTTCGAACTCAAGACACCAAAAAATTAACAACAATTCCTTCTAACCATAAACTATTAACTTCAATAATAATCGACAAAGGCCATATTCAATCATCTCATCAATAATATATAACATTTCTCGATCTCATCTAACATCGAATATATATATATGTATCATTATTAACACCACATAAATATACACTTTATTTATCTTGCTACTAAGTTCATTTAAATAAATATTTAAAGTCGAGTAGTTAAATATATCGTATATGTATATAAGCGATCGCCACTAAGACCATACAAGCAATCACACTTATTTCACTAAGGTATACAAGTAATTTCCACTTACACTACTAAAGATAACTACAACATCCTTACGCCACCAAGGTCGATATGCAAATTATTCATTCTATGCGTTTGAACCATCGGTTCTAGTCAACTAATCTTATAGAGATATTTTTTAACTTTACTCTTTTAAACGTATTTAACTTTACTCTTTTAAACGTATTTTAACTTTAACCAATTTTGAGTATCATTAACCAAACTTTATTGACAGTAACGATACCCTCGCTCAGATATCAATATCTAACCTTTGAATATCGACAATTTTATTGGGTATCAATATAAATTAAGCCTCGAAATGAAACTAATACCACATGGTATCAATATCCTCATATGAGTATCAATATCAAGCCTAAGAGTATCCACTGTCCACATGGTATCAATATCCTCATATGAGTATCAATATCAAGCCTAAGAGTATCGATAATCATCTTGAATATCGATAATGATTTCAGGTTTAAAATGAATTTAATTATCATGAGTATCGGTACTCCCATATAAATATTGATACTTAACCCTTGAATATCGATACTAATTTCAGCCTCGATGTTCAAATAAATTTACCATTATCGGCACCATATAACTCAATATTGAAAGAATAATATTGATAACCTTTGAACGTAATATCTATGCTCCTCTCTAAAAAATATTCATATTTCTACTCTCATTCAAAGAGTAATGATAACACCTAAATGATATCAATACTATAATAAAAAATAATATCTTTTTATGCTCGGAAAGCACTCATAAATCTCCTCTACACATTATCATTAAGGTCATACTTCATATTTATGGTACAAGGAGATTCTATGTATTCATTTAACAGTAGGAAAATTTATATTTAACAATAAATTTATCATTCAGATCACGAAACATGCATATCACAGACATACTTTACTACCACAACACTCTCTATGTTTCCCAACTTACCTAGCACAATATGAATTGATTTTCATCGAATCTGATTTATATATATGGTGTTTGAACTCGTATTAAATTGTGTCAATATAAATACGACATCTTAAACTACCATATCATGATAAATATTGATATCATAGTTGAATAATAAAAGAAGAAAAAAACTCATCATTGATAAAGAATATTCTTTGATGTTTTTCTTTTTCATATTTTGATGGGACAAAATTCGTTTTTTTTAACTAAAAAATTATCGCTTCGATGACAATATCAAGAACATGTTGAAGGTGAAAGAAAATTGTTGAAATGTCATAGTTCAATGCCTTGTAATGAAAGATCACGTAACCTGAAAAATGGAAGAATTGGATCATGTTGAACTCAATTTCTCATCTCAATAAATAAAATATTATATAACAGTTTTATCTTACAATTTTTTGTGTATACGAGAGTTTGATTAGACATGTTCAGACGTTCAATGAACATCATAAATAATTTCATCTCATCTAATTAGAGATAATATACATATCTTCTGTAGATGTAATTGTTCGAATTCATAGCCTCAAGAGAAAATAATACTTCATTTTGAAACTGACACTTCATAAATCTTAATGTTAAATAAATTTACATTCTAAATGACTTCAAATTATTTTTCCAAGCTTAAGCATGATATTCTTTGAATAAATCTCTTATAGAATAACGTATACTATCTTATAGCGGTAATTGAATCTAATCTTTTAAGAAGAATAATATTTTTTTTATTATTGAAACTACTCAATGGATTAGATTAATTTGATTTTTACTTTTCGATTAATATAAGATGATTATAAGATAATATACGTTCAAAATTCTCTTAATCAATTGACAATGAACGTAAACACACTCTACAAACGTCATTGTTCAAACTCATAATCTCTAAAGAGATCGATACTCCCTTTTATCGTTAAGAATTTTGAATACATGTCTGGTTGAAAGTCAGACTGACGTGGACTTTGGACGTGCACTACCCAATAAACCACGTGCTGGACAATCTGATGCTTGTTAGTACGAGAAAGGTTATCTTTGGGCTCTTTCTGAACCAGGCAATGCAGAAAAGAAAAAACTGAGCGAAAATATCTGGTAATATTGATAACTACTTCATCCAAGATGGAAGCCACACAGATTTGATCTTCAAATGCACCAATGCAGACACATTTCTTTCATTTTGCTTGTTTTCTTATACACCATACATTTACTTTTACCCAAATAAACCATGACCAATTAGAAAAGACGACGAATTTTACAAGCAAAAAAAAATAATAAAGCAAGAGAAAAGGGGTTTATTTTTTGTAGGGGGTAACCTTTACAGGTAAGCCCCGTTTAGGCACTGGAAAGGGACCATACTGGATCCCATCTTCTTCTCCCACAACTTGCCACCTGCAGACAAACATTCAAGGGTTTTAAGAACAAGTGCTCAAATTTTCAATGAAAATGGCAGCACCAACATCTCTGTATTTGTCAAAACAAATATGTACTGAAAACAACATTGATGGCAACATTTACTAAATATTCACAGTTATCCTCAAGCAGCCTCCATTTCAAAGAAACTGGGACCTATATATATATATATTAATCGGTAAAGTACACAAATGGTCCTCCAACTATAAGACATTATTCTGTTGAGTCCACCGACTATAGACGTTGCTTTGTTTAGTCCTCCAACTATTGAAAATTACAAATTGATCATCCGACTATTAATATATTCCAAACTCATCATTTTTCGTTAAAAAATTGACGTCGGTATGAGTTAAACGTTAACATGCATACTGTGATATAATAAAATTTGATCTTAGAATCTCAAACGACTATCATATTCCAGTTAGCATGTTAACGTCCAGCTCAAACGACCGTCAATTTTTTAATGAAAAAAAACAAGTTTGAAATATATGAACAGTCATGTGATCATTTTGTAACTTTCAATATAGTTGAGGGACTCAATAAAATAATGTCTTGTACTCGAAATATCATGTTGTAACTTTTAATAGTTAGAAAATCAATAAAACAATATCTTATAGTCGAGGGACCATTTGTGTATTTACTCTTTTTTTTTAAAATTTCCAAGTTTAGCGGATAATCAATTGAGAATAAACAAGTTTTCAAATCTATGATATTTCAGACAAATGAAGAATAGACGACAAAGAAGCAAATGGTGTGGCGTAGAACTTGCAGAACAAAGCTGTGGTTTCAAATGAGATCCATGTTCTGTATAGCTTGGGAAACCTACATGAATGTCTTGAAGCCATTCGATCCAAACCTAACAGCTGGCTAAAATCCGTCATCCTTTCATAATTAAATCTACGGACGAACGAATGCAGGATTTTATATTAAGAAAACTCGTTATCTTAATCTGTTGATTAGATTAGAGATACGAGGAAGGACAAGATCAGAGGATTCAATGGTTTTGAATCCTGATGTGGACATCAGATTGTCTCAGAAACATATGTCTCAAAACCATGGACGAGTCCCATTCTGTTTTGTAATAGTAGTTCATGATTAATAGAGGGTCCCGCCCATGTTTTCCAGGTTGTCAACTAAGCAAATTTGGTTTGGCATTTCTAGTTCCTCTATATCTTCATTTAACCTCGTTGAAAATCTTAAATTACTAACTTTTTAAAAGTAGAAATATTATATTTTTATAACAATTCAGTTAAATTTTATAATTATTTCGATTGCAATTTAAAAAATTATCGTTAAAAGATTTTCCATTATAATTGAAATTATTATCAACAATATATTTGAAAATAGACATGTAATATTTTAAATTAAAAATCCGTCATTGTGTAAATTCGTAGTTATAACTAAAACTATAATAAAATGTATAACATCTTTAGTTAAAATCTATAGTAAGTTAACCTTAAGTTAAACTACGATACAACAGTACTAACCTAAATTTTATCTGTCAGACTTTTTTACTATCTGTGTAAATTTTTAGTTATAACTAAAACTATTATAAAATATATAACATCTTTAATTGAAATCTATCGTAAATTAACCCTAAGTTAAACTGTAATACAACAGCACTAACCTAAATTTTATCTATCAGACTTTTCTATTATATAATCCAGCATTGTTTTTCTTTGTTAAACACGTATACACATACAACTGAGTTTGGATAAAAGTCTTAAAACGCTGCTTTTTTTTTCTTTCCAAAGGGTTTGGTATTGTCTTTCATGGAAAATGGTCAGATAATGTTGCGCATGTTAGCCACCTGTAAGGGTTACATACCTACCACTGTGGAAAACGTATCTTGAAATCGGATTCAAATATCCAATTTGATTTACAAAACTCGATGTGAAATAAAATTCGGGTCACCCTGTCGTGACTCGTGTGTGACCATTAATTTAAGGTTTTTAATTTAGAATTTTATTTTGTTATATAATTTTATAATAATTTTGATTTGATTTAAAATATTGTTTTGTTTAATCTAAAAAAATTAGATTGTTAATAATATCTCAATTATAATCGATTTTGTCTTTTTCTAACCTTATATTAATGAATTATATTTTAGATTTAAATGGGTGTCCCTTTTTCCCATATGTATGGGGTAAGTGGAGGTAAGATAATAGGCTACCCCCAACACTAGGTTGAGAGCAGCTTCCGTAAGAGACTTCCGAATTATGAAATGCCCTCCGTGGGACTCGATCCCACGACCTCAAGATTAAGAACCTTGTGCTCTATTAATAATTAAAAAGGGGTATTTTATAAGGACCACTTACATAGCCTAAAGAATGGGAGTGATTAAAAAGATTTCGAAAACGATGAGTTTTGATATGATTTATAGTATTAAAATTTTAAATAGGATTTTAAAGTAGGATAAATAGGATTTTAAAGTAGGATATTTAATCTTTTAAGGTTAAATTAAGATTAGATTTAAATAAAATTTATTTTTTCGTTCGAATATAATTACTGGATTATTATTCTTTAATTTTTTATACCATATATTTAGATTCTTATTAAAAAAAATATAGATGAAATATGATGGAACCAAATTGAGTTTATTTATTTTTAAAATTAAATTTAAAAAAATTGTATTAAAATTAAAATAAAATTACACTTCTATAATATGGAGATCGAAATCAAATAGACCAATCCAACGATTCCACTGCCTTCTATGCTAAGGAACACAAAGCAAGAGGACCGCTCTAAGTTACCCTATTTTGGTTAAGTGTTAAAATTAGTCCATAATATTTATTAAAAATAATCATTTTAATTTATATATATTTTTTAAAATATTTTAACTAACCAACATTTTATTTCAAGGTAAACAAATATTTAATATTTGACTTAATAATCACTTGACCCTCAATTTTTTCTAGAGTATTTTAACTCTCTACGTTCCATTTTTAGGATAGAAGAGTCCTTATTTTGGAGAGTTAATTGTTCGGTTTTCATGCACATAGGAGACTTTTTATCTCAAAGTAAAATGTTGTGATGAAATATTCCAAAAAAATAAAGATCAAAATGATTATTTAATAAATTATTAGGGGTTTTTTTGACATTATACCTTTTAGTTAACTACGAGTAGACAAAACACTTTAAACAAAATCTTTTATTTACACCAACCTACGTGGCTTAGTTTTTCATCTTACGTTTTCAAGAAGAAGAAATAATGACGATATTGTTGAGTTGGAGGATTAAAAACAAAAATAAATGGTGAAAAATGGGAACCTGTAAGTAGTGGTGAGATGGTGGAGAAGAACCAGCATCTCAAGCTTTGCCAGCTCACTACCTGGACAAGAGTGAACTCCATTGCCGAATGGAATAAAGGTGTTGGGTCTCGGTGCCACCTGCAAAACATCACCAAAACCAACAAAACTTCATCATATTTTCTTTTTCTGGTTTCGACCATCATTGTTTGAATAGTAAAAGTAAATATTATTATTCTTATAAGATTCGAATTCGAAAAATTACATTTATAAGTTTGTAAGGAGTGTATAAGGATAATTAGATAATGTTATTAAACTAAATTGCAGTGTTACTAGCCTACAAGATGAGCTCACGTGCTTCTGAAACTTGAAAGATTTCACGAACCGCTAGAGAAGACAAATGAAAAGGACGGAACAGGAAGAGCAAAAATCAGAGAAACCATTGATAACCTTATATTTGTGTCAAAACCGGATAGTGGATGACCCACTTCACGAATCTTGGTAAGGGATTCCAAGTGTTTCAATTTATAGATATGTCTTGTATGGAAAGTCAACAAATATTGGTGAGTAAAAATACCGTCTTTATAATCTTAAAATATCAGTTTTATTTTTGATAATTTATTTATTTTAATGCAAGGCCTCACCTCGAATCTTGAAGGGTCGAATTTTTCAGGTTGAGGAAAGAAATCTGCAGAATGATGAATGGTTCTGAAGAGAGGAAGAACTTTCCAACCTTTTGGGATATGATAGCCTTCAAGCTCAACATCTTTCACTGCTTCTCTGAACGTGAATGACAGAATACTTGCTCTTCTTAGTGTCTCTTGAATCACCTGTATTTCAGTTTAGTTAATTCAGATATTTCGGTTTAAACTTGTAGGAACCAAGTCACCTCAATAGTTAAAGAAATAATTGTTATCTTTAGAGGTCTCAAGTTCAATCAAAACATCTATTGGATGTTTAAACGTTCATTGTCAAGATGATAATGTACCCTGGTAGTCAATGGCATGTGCCTTGTATCATCCCACGCAAGCCTGCGGTTTTCTTCAATTATTTGCGTTGAATATCTTCTTGTTCTCTCTGAAACATATTATTGAAATTGAATATATATATGACTGCATTCTTTTCTATTTTTCTGGTGAAATGATCAAACATGAGCAAGCTGATGAGGAGAAAAAAATTACTGTGACGGCTTCTAGTAAATCTCCATTGTCATGCAAGTACTTTAAAACCCAGGTTAAAACGCTTGCAGTGGTGTCATGAGCAGCAAAGATAACTCCAATAACATTATCAGCAATCTGGGAATCACTGAGTTGATCAACCTTGTGGATTTTGGCCCCCAACAGATTTCCCAGTAACCCGCCTCCTGGTTTATCATTTTCTCTTCTTTCTTGTATCAATCTTCTCAGGGTCTCATTCAGCTGCTTCCTAGCCTTTTTTTTAAAAAAAAAACAGAAAGATTCATTGAGCAAGTTCATCTTGAAAGAATCTGAATGAAGAAAGAAAAAAAATTACCTTCATTGCTTTATGGAAAGGAGTTCCTGGAAGATCTATAGGCATGGAATTGTAACCCTTTTCCAGGCATTGATAGAGCTGCTTGATTCCATTGATCTCATTGTCTCGTTTATGACCAAAGGCAGAAATCATTGCCACATCAAAAGCGTACTAAACATACAAAAAAGAAAAACTAATGATGCTCCTCCATGCGGTGATTAAAAGACAAAAATAGTTAAAGAAACCGACATACTCTCTTCATTTCTTGCAAGGTGTTAATGGTGGTGTTCTCCCAAGTGGGTAAAAATCTGAAAACAATCTGTTCAATCTCTGAAACCGAGCCTCTAATCGCAGAGGGTAAAAGAGAAGCCTGGACCAACTTCTTCAACCTTGAATGATAAGCACCTTGGTGAAAGAATAGTGCCTCAGGCCCTATCATTTTCTCTTTGCTCGGTGGATACGTCGGCTTGAAAAGATGAGCCTGTGTCACCAGAACAATCCTCGCTGCCTCGGGGCTTGAAATCATCACACAAGGACACCCCAATATGTGAGTTTTGAATATATCCCCGTACCTAATAAAACAAATCAAAGCAAAAAGTTGGACTTGTTTCTTTCTTATTTCTATTAAGTTCCAATTACAAGTAAGGGTGGTATTTGTTTTTATGTATACCTTTTTTGCCTGTTGGCAAAGAAGGAATTTGGATTCTGAGTGTAAAGCTTGAGAGTCTCGCCAATATAAGGCCAACCCATTGAACCAGGAGGAAGAAGTTTACCCTTGAGGTGGTGGCGCCATTGATGAGTGGACAACAACAGCAGCAGCACCAACGACAACAACAAGAAGAAAGAGGGGAATAGAATTGTAGTAATAATGGGAAATGGGAAGAGAAGGAGTTGCATCTTAACTGCGGATGTATAAAATAGAATGGAAATAAGAAAGAGGACAAAGTTAAAGTGTGTATAGGGAGGGAAAGGTAGGGACTTATATAAGCTGTTCAACGCTTGAGCTGTCTTTCTATTGCTGGGGCTCTTGCATCACACACGTCACCACATTTCTGGAACACTTCCCTATACCTCTTATATTTTTCTTTCCCATTTTTTAACCAAAATAATTATTTATCATATCCAATTTCATATTTTTTTAAATAATCTAATATAAGTACAGTACTGTATTTTTCCCGAATTTTTTAACCTACTAATAATATATATACCCTGCAAAATTAATAGTCAACCTTTTCTTTTATCATTGAATCATTTAATAATTTCATTTAATCTCATAATTTAAGAGAGGAGGTTAACAAATTATGATAACAAATACCTTTTTGAAAGCTAAAGTTGTAATGGAGGTAATTACTTTTTTAATAATTTTAGAGTGATTAAAAGATAATATTTATTTAAATTTCTTTTTTAATTATTTACAACACACATCCGCATACATAATTGTTTAAACATATAATTTCTTGAGAACAACGCTTATTTAACAACTAAAATAATTTGATGAGTTTATTTTCTCTCTATTTTTCGTAACATATATAAATGCAATATATATATATATATATATTATGATGTTCCTTTCGCATTCTTAAATTAAATTGTAATATGATATTAACAGATGTTAGATTTGGCGGAAGAGGATACACAAAAATTTCCAAAATACTTTTATATTGGTTGAGTTCACTGTAATTTTTAGTTCTGATATGTTTATATTATTTAAAAAAATAGTTTAGGACAATTATAAGATGATATTTAGTCATAATTTATTTTAGTCATTAATAACGTACGCATATCATGTAGATACAACTGCTCGAACATAGGATCTCTAAAAAAATAATATTTTATTTAATCACTAAAACCACTTAATGAACTCGATAGATTTATATTAAAAATTAAATTCGTTAGTCATCTAATATGTGATATGAAGATGTTTAGAGGTTATTTTTGTTTGTTTTTATCATAGTCTATCAATATTAAACCCTGTAAAACTTTAATTTATAATTCTGAATATTTTTAAAAAGAAATTTTTATTTTGAAAATTAAATACGAAAAATAAACTTTGATGCACAAAACCTTAATAATGTTATTAAAGAATGAAACAAAAATCTAGTGAAGATAATGTTGCAACGGTACTTTGGGTGTTCCGGGATCGCGTCTTGGATTAAAGTGAATAATTTTATCTTTTGGAGACACTATCAACTTTTTTGGATTAGGTGAGGTTAGATACCTAAATTTTACCTTTTGTTGAATCTGTCTTAACCAAAGATTCACTTGGAAGTGTTCTGTTGGGATTTTACGAATCTCAAATTGGACAACCGAAAATGTACGAGGGGGTGAATTGGCAAAATTTGTTTAGGGAGTAAGGAGAAAGAAAAGATAAACAATTTTGCACTGCAATTTATAGTGGTTCGACTTCTCAACTAAGTATATCTCCACTACCTTAACTCCTCACTAAGGATTTTCCAACAAATCCACTAATTTGTTCTTTCTTTTTCAATGACAAAGAGATAACCTTTACAAGACTCCCTAGCTTTTAACAAACTCAGCTAGAACCAAAACCCCTTTACAAGGAAAAAGATGTAAACAAAGAAAACCTCTAAAAAGAAAGTTATTTACAAAAAATAAAAGCTCACAAGAACAAAATATTTATAAGATAATAGGAATAAAGAGTGAAAAGTTCTTCTCTTGTGCTTGATTGCTTGGATATGTGTTCTAACTCTTCTTCAAGTGTCTTGAACTTGTATTTATATGTTGGAATGCGTTTGTGGCCGTTTCTAGCCATTGAAAGTGTTTTGGAGCCGTTGGGGATGTTTTTCTTTGCAAAATAAAACTGCCCAATGATAGGGTATCGGTACTCCTATAGGGAGTATTGGTACTTCCTTTGTAATATTTAAATGAAACTAGCCGTTGGGCCTGACGGTATCGATACTAAGCCTATGGTATCGGTACTACTATGTAAAATAGTATCAGTACCCCTTTAGGTATCGGTACCATTTTTGCATTCTGAAATTTGACCAATTATGGTAGTATCGATACTACCATATCACTTTTCTGGACAGGTCGAATATAACCATATCACTTTATTTTGATTTACTTGGGATCCAACTTTATCATTTGCAGAATTCATATATTGTTTGTGACAAGGTAATAAATGGTGGTTGAAGATAGGAATCATATAGTGGATTTCTCATTTTGTTTTCGCGTGTAACATGGACATTAATGGTACCGGTAACTCTCTATTGTTACCCAAACTCTTCAATTTCTCCATCGACACACTTACTATCATCGTCTTTATAGTAGCTTCAACACCTGCTTTCTTTTTATCATCATCTTTATAGTAGCTTGAACACCTGCTTTCTTTTAACCGGTAAAGTTTTATCTTGATTCGTTTTGTATTTCTTCGATTAGTATTGGAAAAGTAGAAAAGAAATGCAAACCTTGTTGCCTCCGCACAATGTTTCACGGTGGTCGTCGTTGTCAGCTGCTATCGTGGCTGTTAGCAATCTTTTAATGTCCTTGAGTTACCACTATTTCTCCAGACTAGCTCGCATGCATCGTCTCTAGTGGTGTGGGCATCAGCATCGGCCGCATGTATTTCAAGCATAGTATTAGGTTGTCGTCGCATCGTAATATTTTTCAAAGTCATTGGAACACCGCAACTGTATTCATAATACAAAAATACAGTTACTTTTAGGAAACAAATTATATCGTAATATTTTTAATATTTACAACTTTGATATTATAACTGCAATCGTGATCTAAATCATAATTTAGTACTGTAATTTCAAAGTAGTATATTGTTAATCCGAGACTCAACTTTCACCGGTGAGATTTTGTGCCATCGGTTTAGTTTTTTGGCATTGCAGTTTAGCTGTTCGTCGTTGGGCAGGGAAGGTGGTGGTGGCTGGTTAACCGCTGGTGTGGAAGAGTTGTAGACAGTGTCCCCAGTACCCTTGAGGTCGTTTGGATTCCAATCTCTTGCTGGGCTGCTCTTGAACGTAATAATAATGGGGTAAACTACACATTTAGTATCCCAATTATTTTTTTGTTTCAAAATCATATACCTAATATTACATTTTGGTTTATTTTGTACACCCACCGATCTTCATTGGCAATCAGTTGAAAACGAAAATTAAAACAATTTTTGCTGATGCCTTAAATCAATAGACAACCGACTTAAATAATAAATAAAATTAATCATATATTATTATAATTGAAAAGGAGTAGAATTTATATCTTATATAATAAATAATATCATTTATTATTGAAACAATAAAATTATTGACAAATAATTATATATTTAAAAAATAGTAACTTATTTTCCTATTGAAACCATATATCACGAGCAACTATTTTATGTGAATGTACTTAGGGTATAAATAAACATAAAACTCGATAAATTGTTCGTGTATTATTCGTATAACGTTCGTCCATGTTTTTTTTATTAAGTTAAATAAATGAGTTTGATTTTTTATGTTCATTTAAAAACAAACAACGTGAACAAAAGTGTGTTTGATTCATTATATTCACAAATAAACTCGTTTATTGACTTGTTTATAAGCTCGTTTATCGACTTGTTTATAAGCAAACAAGGTTCCCCTTTTTTACATTTTAAATATGGTGAAGGCATGGACTAAATTGAATTTAAGGTAAGTTTTGGAGTTCAAATTATAAAGCATAAGATAATTAAGAACTAATAATGTAATTTCACCATTTTTCTTTGACTTGCAAATAAAAGAGTAAAAAGAGAGTTTTAATTGTCGAACAATAAACGAATGTAAAATGGGAATGTTCGTAAACATTAAATGAATATATTCGCAAACGTTAAATGAACATTTTGTGAATGTTAATATGAACACGAGCACCTTCAAAAATAAACAAACAAACACGATATTGAAATTTTAAATGAACACGAACGAACATAAATACATTAAAAAACAAACAAAAAAACATAAATACAATTTAAATGAACACGAACGAACATAAACACCTTTAAAAATAAACAAACAAACATAAATACAATTTGTATGTCAATGAATAAATTAGTTTGTGAGAAATACCGATTTTTTTTACTAACCTAAATTTAAATAAATACTTTTATGAGTTTTTCGTTTTATGTAGGAGTATAAATGAATTAGACTTGAATAAATAAAGTTGTTTTCTCATTTGTTTGTTTATTTTTGAACGAGTTCATGTTCTTTTAAAATTTTAATATTGTATTTGTGTTCATTTGTTTATTTTTAAAGGTTTTTGTATTGAGTTCACTTAACATTCGTGAATATGTTCATTACACACTCAATTTTTACCATTTGATTTGCAAGAAGAAACAGTGAAATTATGCCTTAGTCCTTAAACTCTTTAGAATTCACAATTTAAATTCCAAAATTCGTCACATGTTTAATTTAATCTCTACTTTTACCAACATTTAATATATATATAAAAGAACCGAAAAAAAGAACTTATAAGTGAGTCGATAAACAAGTATTCAACCATTCCACCCATTCAATTTATAGTTACAACATTTTTTTATCAAGTTGTAACCCTTTCCACCCATCCGTATGGGTGCCGAGTGATACAGGTGCGCAACCTTTGTTTTGCTTATCTTTTGTGCTTCACAACTGTTCTATGTTATTGGTCGATGCGTATCCTGTATAATTTTTTTCTGATACTCCAGAGGATACTGGAGCACTGCATGGACCCAAAAACACAGAATAAGGTTATGGATGAGATCTTAGGGTCTGTTAGCATGTTGGCACAAGACCAGTATGGCAATTATGTTGTCCAGGTTTGTCGTTCTTTTTGGAAACTTATAAGTAATTAACCAAATCTGCTTAGTGGTCTTCAGTCATTTTTTGCTGTTACAAATGCTGATAAAAATTGTTGTATTTGTTTATTTTACAGTGTATATTTAAAATGTGCTTGTACTTATCATTTGGCATCGCTGTAGTATTTCTTATACTGCTCAATTGATGGAAGAACTGACCTCTTTCATTCACTTAACAGCACGTACTGGAGCACGGAAAGCCTCATGAGCAGTCAATTATAATAAAGGAGTTAGCTGGAAAGATTGTCCAGATAAGGCAGCAGAAGTTTGCCTCTAATGTTGTTGAGAAGTGCTTGACTTTTGCTGGTCCTTTCGATCGTCTGTTAGTGGTGAATGAAATGCTTGGTTCTACGGATGAGAACGAGCCTCTGCAGGTTTGTGCTGATATTTTTTTTTGGATAAATTTGAATTTATTACCCAAGAGCAGAATCTGCTCAATTTTACATAGTTCTTAGATCATCAGGACAATTTTATACAAAAGAATCAGAATCAAACAATGTCCCAATGCTTACAAAGATTACAATTAGCACTATCAATGGTATTTAAATTTCTACCTCTGAGTTGGATACCAACTATGTACTTAATGGCTTGAAGCAGTTCATGTGCACTTCTGGAACGTCCTTGAAACAATTTCTTGTTTCTTTCTTCCCAAAGAATGTAAATCAGGGCATTAAGAGCAATTTTCATTATGAAAGTAAGCAAAGATTTTCCTTTCCAAGTAGCGGAAGCCCATGCCAGAAAAGAATCCCAAGAGCGAGCTTTATAAGGGAGACCAGAAAGGGAGAAGATTGAATTCCACAAGTAATCAACCATAGGACAATGAAGAAATAAATGGTCCCTATTTTCCAAAGGATCATCACGGAACATGCATTGGCAATCATTGATAAGCCCTATACAAAGTAGTCTATCCTTGGTAGGAAGTCGATCAAGTAAAGCCATCCATGAAATCAACCTATGTTTTGGTATATGAAGGGGAAACCAAACAAGTTTCTGCCAAAAAACAAGGGGTCTCTTTACTCGAATATTATCCCATATACTCCTTACTGTTGTTGAAGCAGTGGACATAATGGAGTACGCTTCAGGCCTTAGATTGAAAATTTTCCTTAAACTCCAGCTGGTACAAGGTCGGATTTCTGCATTCCAAAAGTCGTTATCTTTAAGAACATAACTGTTAATCCAGGCCACCCAGAGTGAGCCTTCTCCTGCAAGGATTTTTTTTGATATGAAAGATCATACAAGCTCAGTTCCATGTCTTAAGGTCTTTAATATCGAGTCCTCCCTCAGCTTTAAGGCAGCAGACATTTTGCCAGCTTACACGAGCTCCAGTTGTTGTTCTGTCAGCTCCTTTCCAGAAAAGCGAGAGCTAACTGTTCAATCTTTTAAGAGCAGAGTGAGGGAGGAATAATTGCCTACACCAGTAATTGGTGATGCTAAATAAAACTGCTCTTATTAATTCCAATCTGCCTGTATAGGAAAGAGATTTAGTAGACCAGTGGATTAACCGAGCTTTAATGTTATCAATGAGGACCAAACAGTCATTGTCTAATAATTTCCTTGTAACTAAAGGAATACCTAGGTATCTCACCTGGAAAGACCCAATTTTAAAATCAGTTAGCAAATGGATTTCCTCAAGAACAGAGAGGGACATACCAGCAGTAAAAAGTTCACATTTAGAGGAATTAAGTTTAAGGCTAGACATTTCATAGAACATGTCTAAAACACTTGTAACCCCAAGAACAGATTTTACAGAAAATAAAGAGGTCGTCAACAAAGGAAAGATGAGTAAGACCAATTCTTTTGCACTTTGGATTGTAATCAAAGATATTTTTAGCAGCTGCCTAAGTTAAGAGTTTAGAAATAACATTCATGGAGAGAACAATAACAAAGGAGATAGAGGGTCACCTGTTATACCTTTAGCCCCTTTAAAGTACCAATTAAACTCCCATTGAAAGCAACAGAATATCTAGCAGAAGAGAAACATAATTCAATCCAGGTTATAAGGTGCTAGGAAGACCAATGGCTTCAAAGTTAACACCCCAACCCGTACCTGACCCGAATACGAGTCCGAGGGTGTCAACATTGACTTTTAAAACCTTGACACTTAAAGAAAATTCTTGGGAAATTTAAAACTTTATTTAAAACAAAATACTTTAATTTACATAGAAGAGACTACAAAATACAAACTCGATTAGAGTGTCATATTAACGACTTATTGCATGCCACACTCTATACACAACAAATACATACTTTGTCGATTACTTCTGATCTGATCTTCTAGTAAAAATACTATCCTTGCCACTCTATTCTGCTATTCATGTTTTGGTATACGTGTAAATCACTTACACGCTAAGTCATAGACTTAGTGAGGCATAAATAAACATTTAACAATAGTTTCATGAATATGCATCTTACCATTTGATCATATTTCAATATGCATGGATATATTTCCTATGACATATAACCAAGTCATGCACACATGAAACTTACCTTTATGCATCACTTTCACTTTAATTAATATTTCAACTGTCGTTGTTGTTGCCCATGTATATTATTGAGAATAGAGGTATGTGAGTATTGAGGTTGTGCACCAATGCTGCCACCACAGCTCGTATAAATTCCCTCGGCACCGAACATTTGTTCAGTATTCGTCCCGGGCTATATATGTCCGTAGGACCACTACGTCCCCGAAAGACTACAATACCCTCGACTCTTGGCATGCCAAAACCTATATAGCTCTCGTTCATATACTATGGGCATTTACGATGAATACTTTCTCATCACTTGTTCTTTTTTCTGTCACATACCACATGTATGTGTAACATGTATTTCATATCATATCACATGTATCATGTATTGCATATCATTAATTCATTCATTATTCATAACTTATCTCATTTCACATATATCATAGCATATATCAAAATCATATATATATCATATCATATATTTATGTTTCATGCTCTTATGTCTATGCATATCATATAACATATATAACCTATACCCATTTCATGTATTCATGCATATATAAGAATCACAAATCAATTAATATTTTAAGAGTCACTTTTTACCATAGTAACTCCATCACTAGCTCATCGCAAGCCAATGTTCAATAAATAAGTACAATTAAAATTGCACTCACCTTAGTCTTGTGATCGATTATAATCATTGATTATTCCGGAACTTGTTTAGGCTCAATATCTACATAAATATAACATTTCAAAACAACTATCAAAAGCCTAAACCTTAACTTGATGTTAACAACTTAAGCAGATTCTTGAACCCAATTTCATTTTTCCTTTAGGGGGAATCGATACCCCCCAGGGGGAATCGATACCCCCTGGACATACTGAAAATTTTCTGTTCTAGAAGGGGAATTCCCCTTCATAGGGAATCGGTTCCCTATGCCCAGAAATTGTATTTTAAGCCCGAAAATAATTTTCACTTAATTCTTCTATTTTAAACCTCTATCATGTCATTAAACTCAAATACCATTACTTAAACCAACTTATATTCATGAAAATCATCTATAACTCAAATCCTATTATTCATATGAAATTCAAGAATCATACTCAATTTCAATATGTTCTAAATACAATTCTAACACTTCATATTCCTTAATTAGCATGATGACAAGTTAAATTTAACTTCAAATTCAACTTATCAACTATATTCAAGATTTCATATAAAAACTCGTTTTCTTAAATCTCTTTAACTCTTTATCTTTTGATTAAGACAACTTAAGCTTCCTTAAGCTTAGTTACCATAATGATCAAACCTAACCTTTAATTTTAACAAATAACCAACAAAACAGAAAACCCTACCTTTGCTATGGCTTCTCTCGTATGGAAGAAAAAGAGGAGAAGAATATATATTCTTCTTACCTTTTTCCCCCATATATATCCTCCACATAACACAAATAATCATTTAATGGTTAATGACCATTTTGCCCTTTAATTCTTTGGAATTACTAAAAACTTTCAGGAATATTTCCGAACAAATCATCGGACTATACAAATATCCCACTTAAATCACCAAACTGAAGTTTTATGATTTAGTCACTAACCCGTATTTTGGGATGTTACAAAGTGGCAGAAATGAAATCCCAATGCATGGAATCAAAGGCTTGTGAAGATCAATTTTAAGGGAGAATCTAGGAGAGATGTTCTTCCTGTTATAGCCTCTAACCAGTTCTTAAGTGAGGAGGGTATTGTCTACAATACTCCTGCCTTTAATAAAAGTAGTTTGGTTAAGAGTGACTAGCTCAGGAATAAGATTGGTCAGTCTACAAAACCAGGATCTTAGTGATGGTTTTGTAAAACAGATCAACAAGAAATAGGCCTAAAATCCTTAACTTTATCAGGGTTAGGAATTTTGGGTACAAGAGCATAATTGTTGCATTGAAGGCTGGAAGGAGGAGAAAAAAATCTTGAAAGAATTGTTTCATGGCAGCATTAACATCATTGCTAATGATAGACCATGACTTTTTGAAAAATAAAGGGGTATAACCATCAGGGCCAGGGGATTTGTCATTTCCTTGACTGAAGAAAGCTTATTTGATTTCCTCATTGGAGATTTCCTTAACAAGATCTTTGAGTTTTTCAGCAGGTAAAGCGAGTTGAAGAATCTTTTAACAAGTTAGAATCAGAAGCTTTTACCTCGGGATCACTGGTACCAAAAGGTTGGAGAAAATAGTTAGTCACTCATGTGGACATTGAGTCAAAAGTTCTAGCCTGTTGCCTTGATCATCAATCGAGATTCTAATGGTTTCTCTTTTATGCTTGAGGGCAATAGCAGAGTGAAAACATTTAGTACATTTATCCCCCTCTTAAGATCAGTTTGGAGTTGAATTACCTTGTCGATGACATCCTCACCATTTAAGGATTTGATTTGTTGGAGTTCCAGCTAAGTTTTCTTTTGGTTGACTCTTGCAGTAAGATTGTTGTAACAAGACTGATTGAGGGTCCTGAGGCTAATTTTTAGACGTTTTAACTTAGAGAAAAGAATTTGCATTGGATTACCATGGATTGGAATTTTCCAAGACTGGTTGACCACACTTAAGAAGTTAGGTTGTTGAGTCCATAAGTTAAGAACTTGAAATGCTTTGGTATGTTGTTTTGAGTTTCTTTTGAAGCCAGACCAATGTCATACAGTGATCTGAGACCAGGAGCGGAAATTCGACATGAGAGGACTTAAAGGAATTAACCCAATTACTATTAACGAGGACTCTATCAGTTTTCTAGCGAGGAAAGAGTTCTGTTGTTTGTCACTCCAAGTGAACTGGGGACCAAAGAAATGGTGATCAATGAGTTCCAGATCAGAATAAATTTCTGGAAGTCTCTCATGTCTCAAGAAATAATTGGGCCCAAAAAATATA